ATCTTTTATTATTGATTGTTAAGGTCTGTAATGGGGTGGGCGGGGGAGGGGAGGGGGTAGCCCTAAAAACTCGAACTTAAAATTTACACTCACTATTTTCTTCGAAAATATATGTGAGTTCCACAAAATGTTCATGTATTACTTGAATATATCATAGTAAGAATTTTCGATAGTAAAAGATCTTCTGATATTGAAAAATAATTTTAGAAAAGTGATTTTATTGTTCGACGTGCAGCTATTCAGTTCCTAACTGCAATTACCACCAATTGTATGGAAAAATTACAAAATATTATTTTTGAAAATCCATCTGGTATTTCAAAATTAGTTTATATTTTAAAAGACAAACATGAAGATCTTGTACTTGATGTAAGTATTTAATTTAACTGAAGGAAATCATTATTTAATTGATTTAATAGGAATTACGTCTTTTGCAAATCTTAACTCGTAATCGTCGTCCTATACAAGTATCAATTGTACGTCAAAAAGGTTTTAAACGTTTATTTGATATATTTGATAGAAAAGATTATGATGATGAAAGTAAGTCGATAAGAGTTGTTTTTTTTTAAATCATATACGAATTTTTCACATCTATTATAAATAGGTGTTACTGTTAAAGAATGTTTATCTGTTTTATTAAATCTATTACAAGATAATACAATAAATCAAAATTATTTTAAAGAACATCCAATTCAAGAACTACCTTATCTAAAACGTTTAAATAAATTATTCAAGATCGATTTTATTCATGATGAATACTGGTCACCACAAAAGATGGAAAATATTCATCTGTTATTACAAGTAAAAAATAAAAACATAAAATCTATTTTTTAAAAGAATTACAAATATTCTTTTTTTTCGTATATATTAAGATTATTCAAACACTAACATCACCAACAAATTCTAAACATAATATTATTGATTATCAACGTGCAATTAGGCAATATGGTAAGAAGAAATTCAAAAAAGGAACACTTTGGAAGAGAGGAAAAAAATCAATGAGCAATGAAATCCTTTGTCCCTTGAGAAAGTTTTTATACGGTTCGATAGAACTTTTCAATGAATATAAATTGACATGTTTTTCTAAGCTCGACTAACAATATTTACCAAAGAAGTTTAAAGTATATTGCTCTATAAGCATGATCATCTATATTTTTTATTGATGTTCAGCGAATTTCTAGTTAGAGAACTAGCATTTAATAAAATTAGTAAAATATTAACAAGTAGCATCGAAGTGTAGATCCACATATGTGTTAGTCAAATATTTTGCGAAGTCTTCTTACGAAAAAATATGGTTATAATGCACCGAAACTGGCTAGACAATGAATAAACTCTGTCCAGATATGATTTGAACGGTGGAATTTACGATGAACGCCTATGAAATGTTCGTAAAAGTTGAACTTGAAGATGAGCAAAAAAGCTAAAGAAGTGTTTACATGAGATGCCTCTTTTATTTAAATTCTGCAAAGCGTTTTGGATGATATTTTCTGGAAGAAAAGCTCAAGAGAAACACATAAGATACGAATAAGTCAATCTAGTTTTTCAGACTGTTCCTATATATATTACTAATTTCCGTTAAATGTTAGTTATTAATCGAAAATCCGCTAAACATCAATAAAAACCATACAAAGTTACGTTTATAGAATTTGATGCTGTGCACTTCCTGGATCAACATGGTTTCTTAGAATTGAATAAATATATGATTTGTTAGGCATTAAACAGGTATATCGATAGGTATATAAACGTTTGTACGAATAGAGTCGAATAGATCTCTAACACTCAGAACGTGAACGAGTAGAACACTAGTCATTTCACATGGTAAAGATCACTAATCAATTGACTTATAGAATGCACCGCCAAATATTTTGTAGTAGAATGATTTTTTTAATAGAAATTCATACTAAATCCAATGCTCTATTTAATAAGACTAGCCGACAACTGAAAGTAATCTTGATGTACAAAGATATGAGCAATATATATATGCTAAGAAGCTAAAAGTAGTACTTTGAATTCAAATTATTGATAAAAACTTATTGGAATAATATGAAATTACTAGCAAAAAGATTGGTTGTGAAATTCTAATCGATTCATACACACATTCTATTGATCCAGCAGCATATGGATTTGACATCTGGTGCGTTTCATTTTTAGGGGAAGTACAAGGATTAAAAAAACCATGCAGTGGCTATAGTTGTAGCTAGACATTCTAGAAGATCTCTACATTTTATATTATTTATCTATGTAGGAAAAGAAGCAATTTCCCACGAGCTTTCTTCTAATGGTAAATGGTTTTCGAGAGACACATTTATAGATGAAAGATATATACATGTTCATTAAAAAATGGTCGTTTTTGTATATATTTCGAGAGAAAAATAGTTTATATATTTGATCGGTTTTTTATGGGCCCTCCCTTAATTTATAAATCAAAGATGATCATCTTTTTCGTTTCTTTTTACGTAAAACTTTCTCATATCTTTTCTAAGATATTTTACAAAATATGTGT